AATAGTAACCGAAATAAATAACAAACCCAGCCTCACAGCAAACAGCAGATGGAGATCGTAAAAAGGCCGCAATAAATAAATAATCCCCGGGGCAAAGGAAGGTTAGCGACTATCTCCCACATCTCCAGATGACCAAAGAACAGTTCACAAATAAATACCTAGAATCAGAGACACAGAGCACAGGGCAAACAAACATTATAACTGATATTTTTTTTCTTCACGGAAAAAGTTAAAGCTTGGCTATAAAAACAAGTCTATATTAGTGGCTTTATTATTACTTATTTTATTTCACCCTTATTCAACTCACGTGTTTGTTTCTTATTGTATCTTCTATCTACGTGACTTTACCAAGAAAACCAAAGTACATGAGTTCCGCAATCACGAAAGCTTAAGTCCAAACTAAGCTATATATCCAACCTCCGGATAGTGGAAATAACTCGCGAATAAACACCGACCCATAGCAACACGGACTGAGAACAAAGCTTAGCAAAGCCCAGAATCATGGTGGTAACATCTAAATGGTACATTACAAATCTTGGTTAAACATAAACCAAATAATAATCACAAGAGATTAGACCTGGGGTAATTCAGTAGAGGTACAAGAAATAGGTCTAACACACAAAGACCAGATAAAGTATTCCATGAAATCAGAGCCTCCTGGCCGCCTTTGCCTTCCCGCAGCACGAGAAAGGAATGTAACACCAGAGCAGGGAAATTACACTGTTGTTGCAAGGGGGAGCAATGTGTATCCCACGGATGAAGGGATGGCTTGAGGAGGGGACAGTGATCAATGTAATAAAATGACACACACGGACACAACAACAACAACCGCCATTCACCACTAAGTGGCGGTGACGTCACCACGACGCTTGTGCCAGGCTATGTGCACCCTGAGGCCACGTGAAGTGTCGAACGCCCGCTGGCAGGTGGTCACGGGGCAGACCCAGGTGCCACGGGTCGACTGACTGAGATGACTGGCTGATGCACCACCTGTGCCCCCTTCTGTGCCAACCTGCTGTGTTTAGCCACCCGGCGCTCCGCTCGTTGTTGTGAGCATCGCTCCTCCGCCCTCCGTTGTTGTTGGAAGGTGACTACCTCCAACTGCCCAGTAGCATCCTTCACGAGCCTCCTCCACAGAGGGCGATCTTGACACCGCTGGTACCAGTCATCAGCAAGTCCACTCAGCTCCACGTCCTCCCGTACCACATCACTCCATCTCCTCTCTAGGCCGTGCCGCGCCCGTTTAGCCCCCTCGATCCGGCCGAACAAAAGCTGTTTTGGCATGTGGTGGCTGGGCATGCGGGCTACATGACCCAGCCATCGCAGCCTTGCCCGCCGGAGGAGCTCACCGATGGGACCTTGCCCAGATCTTTCAAGGATTTGTGAGCTCCTCACACAATCCAGTCTGGTTAAACCCAGGATGGATCGTAGGCAGGCCAGCCTAAATGTTTCTAACCGGCGAAGATGTTCCATTAGGGGGGTTCACGTTTCGCAAGCGTAGAGAAGGGAGGGAATGACCGTGGCCGAGAAGACCTGAAGCTTAGTGCGGAGCGACAGACCAGGTAGCTTCCACACAGCGTTACGCAACCGATGAAAAGATATTGCCACTCGACTGATTCGGAGAGAGACCTCTGCTGTTAAACTGGAGCCGGTCATAAGCACACTGCCCAGGTATGGGAAACTCTCCACTCGCTCCACAACTGCCCCATCACCGATTGGGAGTTGTGGGGGTGGAGTGTCCGATGGTACAAAATACCCAGGCAGGTGCTTAGTTTTGGTGGGGCTGATGGTAAGGCCCCACCTTTAGATGGCACGCTCCAGTCTCAGCAGCAGCGTCTCCAACTCCTCCTCTGAATGAGCAGCTATTACCAAATCATCAGCATACATAATGTGGTTGAGCAATAGGGAGCCATCCCTTGACTGCACCCGGGCATCGATCAGCCTCCCATTATATCTGTACCAAATGGAGATTCCCCCGGTACAGCTATTGAAGGCTTCACGAACTACGTGGTCAAAATAGATGTTAAATAATGTGGGAGCCAGAGGACATCCCTGTCGCACCCCAAGGTGTACAGGGAATGGCTCTGACTCCCGGCCACATAGTTTTACCCGGGCCCGCTCACCATCATGAAGGTCCTTAATGATCGTGAGCAGAGGGTCAGGTACTCCAAAAGCACGAAGAACAACCCAGAGCCCAGGCCTACTGATGGTATCATAGGCCTTGACCAGGTCAATAAAGCAGAGATATAGGTCTTGTTGGAATTCCCTACACCTCTGCTGTAGCAGACGGACAGAAAATATGGCATCTGTGCAGGACCGCCCTTTCCTGAAACCGCATCGGGGCTCCGCAAGCCTCTCCTCAGCGTACCTGGCAAGGCGATGCTGAATAATCCTTGCCAGGACCTTTCCCGGCAGACTGAGGAGTGAGATGCCCCTGTAGTTGTTACAGTCTGTGCGGTCCCCCTTCTTAAAAAGGGGGACCACCAGGGCATCCTTCCAATCCTGCGGAACCCGTCCAGTGGTCCAGACTGTTGTTATGATGTCATATAGGGCAGTCTGTGCACAAACGCCACCCTCCCTCAGCATTTCGCTTGGGAGATCATCTCTGCCCGCTGCCTTTCCTGGTCTCAGACTCCGGATCGCCTTCAGTACTCCTCAACAGATGGCACCTAAGCCAGCCACTCAAAGGGGGTGACTTCTTCCAATATTTGAGGCACCGCAGCCCCAGCAGGGTCATCCTCACTTTGTGCCACGATGTTTTCCTGGCTGAGGGATTTCCCCTCCCCCAGGACCTCACAGAAATGCTCAGCAAATCTGCAAACCTGTTCCTGGGGGTCGGAGATTGGATCACCGTTTTTTCCCCTAATGATGGTAAAAGGTGTGGCGCTGCAGGTTACTTTTTTGATGGAGTTAAATAGAGATTTGTGATCACGGGCCACTGAGGCAGACTCCATCTCCTCAGCAGCCCGCGACCACCACCCATCCTTGCAGCGCCTCACGGCTCTCCGAACCTCCGAGCGAAGGCTGCAGTAAGCCTCCTCATTCTCTGACGTGGGATTCTGTAGCCGATGACAGTGGGCCTGTCGCTTTTTCTCAACCATCCTGAACACCTCCTCTGTCAGCCAGGGTCTCTGGGGAGGTCTGGACCGCGTACCCAAAGCAGCCATTGCAGCTGCACGAGTCACAGTCCTAAACCTCGCCCATTGACCTTCGGCATCAGGAGAAGTCGGGGACGATGCCAATCCCAGCCGCAAGCGATGATGAAATTCTCGCCTGCAACTTTCATCAGATAACTGAGACCAGGCCACTTTAGGTTGGAATGGGGTCCTGGGTGTACACCCACCACCGGAGTGGAAGAATGTGTAAATATGTGTCGTTTAACCCGCCACCACAGCCAATTAGTAAAGGGTTGTCACATAAACGAAACATGCCAAAATATTGGTCGTGAAAGCCGACGTGTTAAATCAACAAATTGCACTGTGACAGGAAGCATCCGCAACTTGTTTGCTACCGGTCTGGGTTTCACTTGCGTGAGATTATTTTACTTTGCATCATTTCCGTTCTGGGCACACGGGAGACAGGGCGAGAGAGACCCCATCCTCGTTACATTGTCGTGGATTGTGGGGTGTCCATGACAAAAATGCGGCGCTAAAAGCAAGGACACTGGGGACCGCGAAGGGTTTCTCCAGTCCACGATGTTGTGAAGCAAACATTTCACTCCTCAATCTTTCGCAGTTTCTCTCCAGGGAGACATAACGGTCTGAGCCGCTTAAGCTGCTGTGACAAAATATAGATGTGTAGTCACGTGATTTTTTTTTTAAACGCAGACCACCACGCTGTATTTATAGCGTGCAGACCTAAAAAACAACACGTCGTACAGTATGCAAGCCAGAGCGCAGCATGTCATCCGCATTTGCGACAGGCACATCATCATTGCTCACCAAAAAAATGTCATCAAGGCTTGCCACTCAACAATCCCGATGCCAAACTCGTAGTTTCAATAAAATTTAACCTGGCTTGCCACTCAACGATCCCTATGCCAAACTCATAGTTTCAATATAATGCGGTGAAAGAAAAGCTAGGCATTTTTTTCCTGACACTGTAAATAAGTGAAAAAAAACTCCTTTTATTTTATCACTGAGCTATATAGCCCCTTTGCAGAAACGACCTGGCTATCACAAATGATAGCCTAATGAAGTGGCTTATCAGGTGAACATTTATAGTGGCCACATACTATAAATGCGTGATGTTGATTCTAAATGTGGAGGGAAAAACCGGATGACCCAGAGAAAAATCCACGCGACCACGGAGAGAACACGTAAACGCCAAATATACAGGTGTCAGGGTTGGGATCGAACCCACGACCTCCTGTATACCAGGCGAGGTAGTTAACATCTCGCCAAAAGCACGTGTAATACAGTCCTGTTGTGGAAGCTCTGTACAGTGGGCACAGTAGGCGTGCACAAATGATGAAACTCATTCGGCAAAGTCACGGAGGACCGTGAGTAACAAGGAAAAGTCCATCTCTCCAAAAGTGCATCAACCTATGGGCCTTCCTTCCAAACCAATGTTTAACAGCAGGCAAAAACTACTAAAGGATTTTTACTTTTTGGCTACGCTGGGTGATGGAGGGTGTTATGATTTTAAAAAAATGATAGCCAGTTGATTACAACTCCGTTCCATGCAAGCAACACGACCCGGCATGGGGAATGCCATGGACAGCCGAAGCCAGATCACATGCCATTCTCAGAGCTGGCTCCAGTTTCCCGCTTGTGCCCTTTCCATCCATATCCATCGATTCATTTTTGCTGAAGTGTTGTGGAATATTTGCTTATCTGTTGTAACAAATGTACCTCGCAGCTCCGATAATCACGGTTGGCTATGTATTGTGCAAAGGAAGTTCAACATATACATATGCTAACGATTGCCTGGTTAGCGGTACGTCGGTGCAGGGTTTTGGCGGTTCTCGTATTGGCCGACCGAGGTGCGTGCGAGAAAACCTTGTTTAGGCGAGGCCTTGCGCGTGTGCAGGCCCAGCTGCAGCTGCTCTCGGCACCAATCGAGCTCCAACTCAAACTGCTCGGCCAGAGACCAGAAAAGAAAAAAACCCACACAGCCACCAGGCTTAGCAGCAAGCCATACACTAGTCACACTGGCTGTCCACAGTGACTTGGACCAGGCCTAACAGCTACCGCCAGTCACACTGGCTGTCCAGTGACTTGGACCAGGCCTAACAGCTACCCGTCAATCACACTGACTGTCCACAGTAAATTGGACCAGGCCTAACAGCTACCCGTCAATCACACTGGCTGTCCACAGTGACTTGGACCAGGCCTAACAGCTACCCGCCAGTCACACTGGCTGTCCACAGTGACTTGGACCAGGCCTAACAGCTACCCGTCAATCACACTGGCTGTCCACAGTGACTTGGACCAGGCCTAACAGCTACTGCCAGTCACACTGGCTGTCCACAGTGACTTGGACCAGGCCTAACAGCTACCCGTCAATCAAACTGGCTGTCCAGTGACTTGGACAAGGCCTAACAGCTACCCGCCAGTCACACTGGCTGTCCACAGTGACTTGGACCAGGCCTAACAGACTGCTGTGTGGCTATGGGAGTTTTGAAATGACAGCTGTGACACGTAAATATCATTCTCACAGACTCTGAAAAAATACACAATGGTTTCTGACGGGTCTGTGTGGAATTTTGGAGTGTTATCCCTGCAATTGCATGTATTTTCTCCAGGTACTCCAGCATACTCTCATATTTAAAGCGCTCATTAAAAATAAATTTTCTGAACAACTTAATGCAGAGGACGCTCCTGAAAAAGTTTTTCAACTCGGCAAGAATTCCCTGGATATAAAAGGGCATTTGGTATTCTTTCATAAGTTGTTTGCTTTGACGTATATTTTCTACCCAAATAAGCTTACCATAGCATGAGGCTATTTTACGTATTTGTACACCCTGGTGTCACCAAAATCCTTACTGGAAGCAAAACCAGGATACTCTGTACACCGTATAGAGCTAACCTGTTCTAAATGTATACTGAAACAGAAAAAATAACCATAGGCCATTGTGTCGGCGTTATGGTCCAAATTTTCCAAGTTCTAAAAATGACCCACAAATTACTGAACTGGGCTAACACATTGCCAATCGTTGCCCCCTGCTGGCAGACGAATGTCCACTTGCATATTTGGGTGCTGAGTCACCTTTTGTGGCACACAGACAGCTGCCACGGGGTGGGGGGAGGTTACACTTGTTTGAGATGAGATGTGATGCAGGCGATTTCAATTGCCCGAGGCATTAAAGTGCTATATACATTCAAAAGATTATGACTAAATCTCAAGTGTAAACACGAGGTTCGCATTCATGTTAAGAGATGTCAGGAATCGTAGACAGGTTGAGAAGTCTCCTGCCTGGGATGAAGGAGGTTGCTGCACTGGCGCACGTTCCATCTTGGCGACGGGAAGGGCAGGCGAGCTGCCGCTGTGGCCGCCCGCATCCTTCACGTCCGCCTTCTCAGCGGCCGCTGGAGCGCTTCCCTTGGTAGCCTGTTTCTGCTTCTTCCGCTGCCTCTTCAGCTGCGACTTGGTGAGCCCACTTCCACTGTCAACATCGCTCGGTCTCACATCCTCCTCTGGCCCCACTGCCGGAGCCTCCCTTCCTTCTTCTCCTCCTCCTTCTCCTCCTCCGATTAGCACGGTTGACTATGTATGGTGTGAAAGAAGTTCAACACGCATACAGTAGACTCACATACAGACCCATAGACTCACCGGTGCGAAAGAAGTTCAACATTCATACATAGACTGATATACAGACCCATAGACTACTCATGCTGAGACCCATAGTTTGTTGTCCTTCCCCTGCACCTCCGATTAGCACGATTGGCTACGTACCGGTGCGAAAGAAGTTCAACAAACAGTGCACATACAGAGCACCCGACGCCTGCACACCAGCTGAGTTCATTGCTCAATATCCTCAGTGGACATCCTCTACTCGTAGGTCAAGCACCAGCTGCTGCTGTGTGGGTAGAGAGTCGTGGGTTCCTCAGGACCCCCCCAGACACACAAACAAATAGGCGCTCAGATACCGTTCAACTTACTTTTGCATCAGCAATCACGGCAAATTGTAAATCAAGCACACCAATACATTCTGCTTGCTAGGCAATTTAATATTTTAACAGCTGGCCGCGGTGTTCATTCCCAGACCAGTAAGTGTAGTAATTAATGAATGGCCTTAAATAATTAACGCCAAGGTCCCAACCCCAAACCAGGCGACGCCGTGGTGAGCGTCCTCGATTCACAAGGTCACCAATTAACGTCCCAGTCGCGGGTCGACTCGGCACACCATCCCCGTGGAGTCGACAAAATGTCATTCGCATCGGTGGCCTCGGGATCGCCCCCGACAGACAGAGCCCCGTCCCAATGTTAATTTGGACAAAATACGTTTAAATTACCACGCGTCGCCTAACGTTCATTCTCTATGGCAGCGGCACGGAGTTCTTCCGTGACACAGAGACAGACGTAGATCCGTGGTGGAGAGAGGGGGGCGGGGGGTACTTGCCGAGTGAGAACAAAGTACACGGAGTCCATGCTTGCTGAATGAAAGCGGTGAGCGGCAAATTATACCAATCCTCCGGTCGGCGACAGCGTCCAACTCGCCGTGTTTAAAAATCACGTGAAAAAAAATGTAAAATTGTATTTGTTGCACCATTATTGTTTCCATCGTACCAGTACGCCATAACTTTGTGTTTATAATCCAAAGAGCAAACCATCAGTCAATTATTTAATCCATTATTAATTACAATCCCAAGGACCCGCGGGTGACACGTGCCAAAAAGCCTGCACCCTTTCCAGATGGAAATGTGCGCCGCTCGGAACAACTCTCATTGGGTGCGCACAAAATATACTGCAGCGGCATTTTATGTGTCCAGACTTTGGGCACATGGTCACGATCCACGTGGGGGTATGTGTGGGTGAGGAGTCGTCGTGGCGATACCTCCGCTGCCTGCCCTGGCACCGAGGGCGCCGCTGCAGTGGCTGTGCTGGAAGTTGCTGGCTGTGTGGGGTCAGGCTGGGCTGACATGCTTCTCTCTCTCTCTCCAGCCGCACAGACGCTCTCTCCTACCTGGACAAGACAAAACATTATCGTCGCGGTGAGTTCTGAAGACATTTTCACATCCGACACACACAACTCAATAAAGCTCAACGGCCACTTGGTGAGAGGCAAACGCTCTAAGGATTATACACAATTGTTAATAAGTTCACTTTGACCGTGATATAACTCGGGCTGTAGCAGATGTCTCTAAATCATGAGAGTTTAAATTAAGACAATGGCAGAAAGCCCCGCATATTTCTAAGTTTAATAAATCAAGTGGAACCTTGCAAGCAGCAGTACTTGGTATAAAGTCAACGATAGTAGAGGTGGCCATGTGACTCATAGGTCACCACGTGCAAAATTATAGTCAGGTCCTGCAATTTCCACATCAGGGCTCTATGACACATTCGACCACGATTGAGTCAGCACGGTGGCATGTAGCATAGTATCAACAAGGCTCGATTATTTCAACTCGCTACTCGACGGGACGTCTGGCTAAAATCATTACCAAGCTGCAGCGTTTACAAAACTGTTGGCACATGTCGTGACGGGTACTGCAAAATCTGACAATGTCCGTCCAGTGCTCGCCGAGCTGCAATGGCTTCTGGTTGTTGAACGAATACATTCTAAGGTCGCGCTCATTACACGCAAAATGCTTTCCAAAAATCAACCACAACACCTTGCTGATCTCGTCAAGGAGCAGAAACCATCACAGGAACTCCAGTCATCCTCGCAGCGGCTTTTGGCTTAGCCATCAAAGAGGGTGGTCACCGTATCACACGCTTTCAGATGCACTTCTGCAGCCGTCTGGAACGCTCTGTCTTCCGATAATAGGAAGCCACTGGAGCTATGCACTTTTACAGCGACATTGAAGACTAATTTCTTTACAACTGCTTTTTGTGTTAGTTGGTTGTCCTTTTCCGCACCTCCAATTATACAGTGAGGGAAAAAAGTATTTGATCCCCTGCTGATTTTGTATGTTTGCCCACTGACAAAGAAATGATCAGTCTATAATTTTAATGGTAGGTTTATTTGAACAGTGAGAGACAGAATAACAACAACAAAATCCAGAAAAACGCATGTCAAAAATCGGAAATAAGTATTTGACCCCCTCTCAATCAGAAAGATTTCTGGCTCCCAGGTGTCTTTTATACAGGTAACGAGCTGAGATTAGGAGCACACTCTTAAAGGGAGTGCTCCTAATCTCAGCTTGTTACCTGTATAAAAGACACCTGTTCACAGAAGCAATCAATCAATCAGATTCCAAACTCTCCACCATGGCCAAGACCAAAGAGCTCTCCAAGGATGTCAGGGACAAGATTGTAGACCTACACAAGGCTGGAATGGGCTACAAGACTATTGCCAAGCAGCTTGGTGAGGTGACAACAGTTGGTGCGATTATTCGCAAATGGAAGAAACACAAAAGAACTGTCACTCTCCCTCGGCCTGGGGCTCCATGCAAGATCTCACCTCGTGGAGTTGCAATGATCATGAGAACGATGAGGAATCAGCCCATAACTACACGGGAGGATCTTGTCAATGATCTCAAGGCAGCTGGGACCATAGTCACCAAGAAAACAATTGGTAACACACTACGCCGTGAAGGACTGAAATCCTGCAGCGCCCGCAAGGTCCCCCTGCTCAAGAAAGCACATATACATGCCCGTCTGAAGTTTGCCAATGAACATCTGAATGATTCAGAGGACAACTGGGTGAAAGTCTTGTGGTCAGATGAGACCAAAATTGAGCTCGTTGGCATCAACTCATCTCGCCGTGTTTGGAGGAGGAGGAATGCTGCCTATGACCCCAAGAACACAATCCCCACCATCAAACATGGAGGTGGAAACATTATGGTTTGGGGGTGTTTTTCTGCTAAGGGGACAGGACAACTTCACCACATCAAAGGGACGATGGACGGGGCCATGTACCGTCAAATCTTGGGTGAGAACCTCCTTCCCTCAGCCAGGGCATTAAAAATGGGTCGTGGATGGGTATTCCAGCTTGACAATGACCCAAAACACACGGCCAAGCCAACAAAGGAGTGGCTCAAGAAGAAGCACATTAAGGTCCTGGAGTGGCCTAGCCAGTCTCCAGACCTTAATCCCATAGAAAATCTGTGGAGGGAGCTGAAGGTTCGAGTTGCCAAACGTCAGCCTCGAAACCTTAATGACTTGGAAAAGATCTGCAAAGAGGAGTGGGACAAAATCCCTCCTGAGATGTGTGCAAACCTGGTGGCCAACTACAAAAACGTCTGACCTCTGTGATTGCCAACAAGGGTTTTGCCACTAAGTACTAAGTCATGTTTTGCAGAGGGGTCAAATAATTATTTCCCTCATTGAAATGCAAATCAATTTATAACATTTTTGACATGCGTTTTTCTGTATTTTTGTTGTTGTTATTGTCTCTCACTGTTCAAATAAACCTACCATTAAAATTATAGACTGATAATTTCTTTGTCAGTGGGCAAACGTACAAAATCAGCAGAGGATCAAGTACTTTTTTCCCTCACTGTAGCACGGTTGACTACGTACGGTGCAAAATAACTGCAATATACATACTGTTTATACAAAGGGCTGACCTAGTACAGCTGAGGTCTTGGTTCCAAATCCAGCCAGCGGCCTGTAAATAAACCACATTCATTCAAAAATGACTGCAAAAACAAGAGTCACATTGAATTTGATTGGCTGCTTCCTTAATTCCTGCTTGGAAGGATGGATTAAAATGCATTGGTTTGACTTTTTGGAAAGTAGCCGTTAACTTGTAGGGGGCCGGGGGCACCTCTGTGCCAGTCAGTTAATTGCTTGGAAGGTTTTTTGTTCGCCAAGAGCCAGAAAAACATGAATTGGTTAAAACTGATAAAGACGGTTGCAGCTCCTGTGGGTATTATTCACAGTCTAAATACACAGTATAACAGTCGATCATCTATTATACAGATAATCACATCATTAATTAAAGTATCTTGTTTTTGCACATTCTTGTATGACTGTTTTTAGGTGTTGTATACATGTATTTTAAGTGTTTAAATGTATTTGCGATATGAAATTGCCATGAATAAACATACAAAGACAAAAAATAATATCCTGTAAAAAAAAGTGTATTTACCGTACCCAACTTACCGATCCACTCTCGAAAACTCTGCATGAGGTGATGTATATAGTCCAGTATTGTCATTGTTGTACGTAGTGTATAATGTACTATATGTAATATTTAACTCTGAAATCAAGCATAGCTATCGCCGGCCTGGGTTACAGCCTTTGGAGCAGTTCTGCCGGATCGCCCCGAGACCGCCGGATAATGTTGGAAGCTGAATAAGAGATGATCAACTGTACAGTATATTGTACTGTATAGACAATAGCAACACTGGCTTCACGTGTTTTGGCTGTAGCTGCCATGAGCTCCACAAGCAGCTACCCAGTGTAGCCTGAACACAGGCTGGGTGGTGGCGGGTTTAACGACACATTTATATTTACGCGATCTAACCACCCCAACAAAAACCTACGCTTTAGATGATATTGGTGCTGTTAGCGAGTAGCGCCTGCGAAGGCCGGCAATGTGGCAAACACACGACCGGGTGGGTGGCCAGCAGCACGTCCGGCCGCCTTTGTCTCCCCCAGTGGCGATGGGGTTTTTTTGCACACCAGGTACTCATTTGAGGCTGAGTCGACCTAGGGGACGCTCGGCCAAACAGATGGCAAACCCCAACCCTGGACACCCGAGTTCGATTCCCGCTCACGGCCAACACCGATGACGATTATCCGAACCGGTCCTGGGCCACCTCCCCCTGGGTTGACTCAGCCTCAAAAGTGTACCCCGGTGCGGTGTGCTGCAGTGAACATCGCCACCGGGGAGACAAAGGCGGCCGGGCGTGGTGCTGGCCACCCACCCAGCCCCTCGTGTGTCTGTCACGGTGCCGGTAGCCTTCGTAGGCTACTCGCGACTAACTGCGACTTGCCCCTGCAGCCTGTCACTCACTCGTCTTGGTGTACCCACCTCGGCCAGGGCCACCAACAATCGGCGATCTGAGCCTCCCCTAGGTCGACTCGGCCTCAAACAAGTCGCTGGTGCGGCTGTGTGAGCGTCGCCACTGGGGGGGAGAGACAAAGGCGGCCGGGCGCGTGGTGCTGGCCCGCCACCGCCTCGCGTGTGCCACGGCGGCGGCCTTCGTAGGCGCTGCTCCTCGCTACTAACAGCGACTTGCCCCACAGTCGGTCAGAGGCTACCCAGGGGATCTTTGTCTGTGTACTGTACAGAGCCACGCCGAGTTAATAATCATCATCATAATCATTATAAATCATAATAATCATCATCACGGGACGCCTGGCACCGCTCGAGTCTCCGGTCGAGGAGTGAGAGGCGGTGAAGATGAACGCTCGCCTCGCATGAGAGAAGATGTCTCCCGCTTCTTCATCCACCTCTTCCACGACCTCCTCTTCCACGACCTCCTCTTCCACGACCTCCTCTTCCACGACCTCCTCTTCCACGACCTCCTCTTCCTCTTCTGCCCGCGACTCTCTCGCGGCGGGCCGCACTCGGCACGGTGGAAGCCGTGGGGGAGGCGGAGGCCACCGGCACTGCGACGGGAGGATGCCAACTCAGAGGGAGCTTTCCCCCCTCCTCGCTCTTCGTGAACCCTTCAGTCGGCCACCAACTCGAGACGTCTCCGACGACGACGATGAGGATGATTATGATGATGATTACTGTACTCGCGAAACAAACTCGCGCTAGGCGCAGTGAGGCGAGCGGGGTTCGTTTAACACGGAGCAGCAGCAGGCCTGTCGGACAGAGGTTGCTTTAGTGGGGTTCTATCGCGTGAATATGCGATGTTGTGTCGTCGTTAAACTCACGGCCGCCGCCACCCGACTCGGCCCATCAGTCAGGGGTTTGTCACGTAAACGAAAGTGGACAATTCGTTCTTTGATACATACAGCCGGTTGTGTGTTGGAGAATAAACCCGCTACAATATTTAACAATTCGAGTAACCGTGACGTTTCTCCGGTAATTACAGCAACAACAACCAGCATTAATTTGCTGTGTCGGGTGGTGGCGGGTTTAATGACACAAACACCTCTATTGTGGCGTGAGAGTTATTTCGGCTCTCTGCAGCGAATTTACAAACGCGGCGTTCGCTCTCCGCCTCGATTTGATTGCGTTTCCGGTAAACAAACGCAACTTTTTATATATATTTAAAACACGTAAGGGCCCATCACTGAGCTATATAGTAGCTTTTTTTCAGATGCGACCTGGCTAGCACAAATGATTGTTCAACGAAGTTAGTGGCTTATCACCGTGTGGAAATTTATAGCTGCAGCCAAATAGCTCTAAACGAGTGATGTTGATTATTATAAATGTGAAGGGAGGAAAATCCACACGACCACGGAGAAAAAGACACGCAAACTCCAAATATATAGCAGGCGTCTGGGTCAGGATTGAACCCACGATCTCCTGTATACCAGGCAAGGTAGTTAACATCTAGCCACTGTGATGATGATGATGAGAGAGACATCGTAAACTCCAAATATACATTTCTAGATTTGAAGCTTTCGTGACTGCAAGGATCCATACTCTTTGGTTCTATTCGGTAATGTCACGTAAAGTCACTCCACTCACTCCACTCACTCACTCCACTCACTCCACTCACTCACCCCACTCACTCACTCTACTCACTCCACTCACTCCCTCTACTCCCCCCCCCACCCCCGCTGCTGGTCCGTCATGGTCCCCACCCGCTCCTGGTCCATCATGGCCCATGCACCTCCTACGTACATCGTGCTCATTTTTATGCTAATTCCTTTGTCAAGCGTTTTGATTCCTCCCACACAGCTTAAAGGACGCGACCTGGGCTTGGCTGTTTTCACTCCAACGCTGTCCTCCTGACAGCACGGTCCCTTCACCTGATGAAGGCCACTTGTGTTGTGGCCGAAACGTCGTGATTTTTGTTATTTTATTTTTTACCTACGTGAATTTACCGAATAGAACCAAAGAGTATGGATCCTTGCAGTCACGAAAGCTTCAAATCTAGAATTGATAACCTCTACGGGGAGGGCTTTCACCTATCTGTTAGAGCTTTCAACAGACAACGGGACAAGAAGTCAAAGCTCATCGAGACGCTGACCTTCTTAAAAAGATGCCGCGACAACAAGGTAATACCCATCACTTTCACACTCACATCTGCTGCTGTATCCTCACCAAATTCTAAACAGATTCTGTTTAAGGCCAGCCTATCTTTAATCTCAGAGAGGATAAGACTACTCCGTTTTGACTCGATACTTTAGACAGGACTCTCCTACAAGCTCATTTAACGCTAACACAAAAATGTCACCTGCTGATTGGAACCACGTAGACAACATTACTGCTTCTTCTGCCGATTCACTTTCAGTCAAATACAAAGCTAACCTGATTTCTAAATTCAACCACCTATCGAAGAAGAACCCAGTCCCACATATAACAAAACTAGACGTTAACAAAATCGTCATTAATCAGAGTAGCACCCCGATTTCAGACAATCTGAAAACAGTACTGGCTAGAGGGCTAAATTTTGCTGTCACCCCGAAACATATTCCTGTAGATATCATCTCTCAGGTCGATGCGGCCCTTAAAGGCATAGGACACATCCAAGCATACGTTGCGAGAGCTGAAATAGCCACTATTCTTAAGAATGCTAAGAAACCCATTAGCAACATCAGCAAAAATGAACGCTTTGAACTCGCGAATTTAAAAAACAGTAGTGATATAGTCATCCTCTCAGCCGACAGAGGCAACGCTACTGTAATTATGGATAAAGATTCGTACAACAACAAAATCCAGAACCTCAACGATGGAAGTTACTCAAAAAATAAAAATGACCCTACTAATAGCCTAACTATGAAAACCAACAAGATCATCACAAGTTCGACCTCCCTAATCGAACCAACTAAACGTCCCTCCTTAAAACCTGCTGCAAGACCCCCTAGATTCTATGGTCTCCCCAAGATTCATAAAGGCACTCCACTACGACCCATCGTATCCACGATCAACTCCCATACCTATAAGCTAGCACGTTTTCTGTCAGATACCTTGCTACCTTTCACTGGCAAGACCTCCTCAGCAGTACTTAACTCAGCTCATTTGGTCTCTATGGTCAAAGACGTTGTACTGTCCCCTGACGATATCCTTGTCAGCTTCGATGTGGTCTCCCTGTTCACCAAGGTCCCGGTACTTGATACCATTGAAATAATTGAAAATTTGGTACAACATGGACTAGACCCCGATACACCTGCGCTGATTAGACACTGCCTCACCAATACCTACTTTACTTGGAATGGCACCTTCTACAAACAAAATGAGGGTACCCCCATGGGTTCTCACTTATCACCAGTGATATCCAATGTTTTCATGGAGAAATTTGAATCAGACGCCATCCAGACTTCCACACTCAGACCTTCCTTGTGGAAGAGATATGTGGATGATACTTTCGTCATTTGGCCGCATGGCCTCCCAGCTTTGAACCTTTTCCTACACCACATCAATTCTAGACATCCCGCCATCAAATTCACCATGGAAGTGGAGAAAGATGGCAAGCTACCATTCTTGGATGTTCTGTTTGAGAGGAGACCTGATGGCTCACTGGGGCATTCTGTCTACAGGAAACCCACCCACACAGATTCCTACTTGAAACCTGATTCCCACCACCACCCAGCTCAAAAGAATGATCTCATCAAAACGTTATACCACAGGGCACATTGCATTTCAGACCAATTTCCACCTGACCAGTGAATTAAAACATGTACACCTGGCCCTCAAGAGAAACGGATACTCTGACCGTACCATCCGCCAAGGTGTTTCTCCCTCCATACAGAAAAAAACCACTTGATACTCCGGTCAAAACCATCACACTACCATATATGGCAGGCGTTACTCAAAAGATCTCCAAAATTCTAAACAAACACAAGATCCTGGTGCGGTTCAATACAGTATACAAAATCCGTGACCTGATCCCATCCGTGTAAGATGTCGTTCCTGACTTACAGTACCCCGGGGTTTACAAATTGAGCTGCACTTGTGGTGATTGCTATATCGGGGAGACGAAGCGACATGTCTCTGACCGAATTCGCGAGCACAAATCAGATTTTAAACACGGCAGAATGAATTCTTCTGCCGTAGCTGACCACTGTTACAACCCTCCGGGTGATCACGATATAGTTTTCTCCGATACCAAGGTTCTCTGCAAACCCACGGGTTTTTATCAGAGATTTGTCCACGAGGCAATTCAGATTTACAAACACAGACACAATTTCAACCGAGAGGATGCTTTCAAATTAAGCAATCATTGGAAAGATGTTCTAAATCAAACCAAACATTAAACTAATTTTCAATGGTACAGTAAAAAAAATATTCAAGTAGTGGTATCCCAAACTTTCACAGCTGCTTATTTCTCCACTCACTCACTCCACTCACTCACCTCACTCACTCCACTCACTCCACTCACTCCACCCACTCCACCCACTCACTCCACTCACTCCACTCACCTCACTCACTCCACTCACCTCACTCACTCCACTCACCTCACTCACTCCACTCACTCACTCCACTCACCTCACTCACTCCACTCACTCACTCCACTCACTCACTCCACCCACTCCACCCACTCCACTCACTCACTCCACCCACTCCACTCACTCACTCCACCCACTCCACTCACTCACTCCACTCACTCACTCCACCCACTCACTCCACTTGTGGGGGCTACCGTCCTCCGCCATCGCCGAATTGTCGGGGTCGTTGGCCCCCGACTCCCCCGTTAAATTCATACCACTACCACAACTGCAACAACCGGGGTATGATTATGCACATGGGTACCCGTGTACCTCACGGCGCAGCTCTACTCACGCGGTAACCACCGCCAGCAGCATCGCGTGCTTGAATTGTGTAATCTTGTTTTATTTACCGTCGCAGCTGGTCGGAAGCAACTAATTAGGCTGCGCTGGGGAATACCCGCTCACCAATTGATCTCTACGCGCTACACGCGCGGCGCGTGCCGTGAGCGCCGCTGCTCCTGCACGCCCCCGTACTGGCGCAGGCGAAGTGCAACCAGTACCACACGATGCAGAGGCTCACCACACCATGCACTAGTGCATTTAATGATCGAAGGACCCGTACTTTAATGCCCAGAGTGATAGCACGTTACTGCTGCCCCGGCATGCGCGTCAATCCCCGAGTGGACCCACCCGTGCGAACGTAAACACGTAGGTAAAATTACTCACGCGCAAACAAAAGAATCACCGCGGGCAGGCTTGCCACACCACGCACCGCCCCTTCGTACTCACAGAGACAACACGACACAGTTTATACTCTACGGACGGTTTATTCCCCACGAATAAACGAACTAGGCTGTGCGTGTCAGTACGGACCAGCAGGACAGGTCTAACCTATCTCTCTACTGCCTGATACCTAATCGACCTGTCTGCCCTCTATTTTCTCTCCGAATTTCGTCCCTTTGTCTTACCTCTCTCCCTCGTACTTACGGTCCGACCTCGCAGCGATGGAGGTCGCGGATAGATGATGCTGTAAACAGAATCTGGCTGTTCTCTGCCCCATCTCACGGACGTGCGAGTAACAGTCAGGTGACGGCTCCGCGATCCCTCCCTCCTGTTGATCTCCAGTCAAATAAAAATGGCCCCGTGCTTCCCCAAAGCGTCCCTTTTTATGCCCCTTTCAAAGCCCTCGCACCGCCCGTCCACGGTGCATCACGGGTCAGGCCGTTAATCCGCGGTGCATCATGGGTAGGGCCGTTAATCCGCGGTGCATCATAGGTAGAGACGCTAACCCGCGGTGCCCCATGGGTAGAGACGCTTAACCCGCGCTGCCCCGCTCCCCACCTGTCTGCTGGTCCGTGTGTGTCTTGGGCATCTCCTCACTGCGGTTCTCAGTGAGTTCGCCGTGGTCATTTAATTCTAAGTTAAGCCACGGCGCCGCAGTACCATTTGGCCTGGGTGGGTGCCTGCCAATTCCCTGACCCTGAGAAACCGTGGAGCACCCCCACGAGGGGGCCTCTCGGGTAAAAACTCAGGGCAGGTGCCCCCCCCCCTCCCCATGAGGCCCTACTTGCGTGTGTGTGTGTTTAGGTGGGGGGGGGGGGGTGGCGGGGGAAGTGCTGTGATGGGAGCCGGGTGGCTTCTCGGTCGCAGCAGCACAGCGACGGTCCCGGT